CCCCCCCCGTGCGCTGGACTCAGCTAGATGGTGGCAGTAACAAATACCTTGAGTCCCTTAAATGGCACAGGTGTTTACACCCCTGGCCACTAGCAGAAAGATTGATTTGAACTCTGCCCAGAGGCAGCTCAGGACAAAGGGCTGGCTATCTACTTCCGCGAGAACCCTTCTGGAGCACAATTCCTACCTGCATTCAAATGGAGTCACCAGGAGTCAGGACTGCCTACAAAACAACAAGGTCCCGGTCATCGAGTTGATTCCAACTCACCGTGACCCTATGGAACAGGGCTGAACCGCCCCTGTGAATGTCCACGACTGGAACTCTTTGCAAGAGTAGAAAACCCCATCTTCTTTTCCCCTACAGGGTGGTTGGTGGTTTTGAACTGCTGCCCTTGCAGTTAGCAGCCCACTGTGTCATCAGGGCTATCCATAGGACTGACTACAGCAAATGCTTTTTGGTTTGGTTTGAGGCCATGCGTGATTCTAAGGACGAGAGCCAGATCAGAAAACACAGCACACAAACCCCTGCCCTGGTGGCGCTGATGCTCTGCTGGCTGTGCCCAGGAGCTAGCCGGCCAGAAAGCCTAGGAAGAAAAGACTGGCAAAACCCAGCTGGGGAGCCACAGGGGGCAGGGAAGCTGACTTCACCCTGGGAATCTTTTTATATCTGTTGATTATTGTAACATGTGCCTACACGTCCGACCCCAACAAGAAAGTAGAACGTAAAGTGGGAAGGCTGGATCCAATAAAAACGAGGGAGTAGCTGGATGCACTCTTCAATAAAGAGTGTCTCAGAAGCAAAACTCCCAGAGAGGGGAAATAAAGTCAGCTCGCAGCTGCTGGAAAAACCAGAAACAACCCCCTCAACAACCCCAAATGGTGCTGTTTACAGCTGTTGTAATGAAGCGTCTCCAGTGAGCGTGTTCAGTTGGGAAAGAAAAAAAAAAATCCAGTGGCGACCACTAGGTTTTCTTTGCTCACATTTAGGGGTAGGGTGGTGGGTTTCTAAGAACTAGATGCCTGGTAGGTGGTAGGTTAGGCATTAGGCTGGTAATTGCAAGGTCCCAAACACTGGGAAAGATGAGACTTTCTGATCCTCTAAAGATTTACAGCCTCAGAAACTCACAGTTCTACTCTGTCCTGCAGGGCCAGAATAGATTCGATGGCCGTGAGTTGGTCTGGGGTTGATAAGGACTGTATAAATACACACACATTTGCCTGTGGCTGCACAGGCCATCTCTGGGTGGGAGGAGACCCAAGCCACCTGTCACAGCAATTACCGCAGGACTTGGGAAGCTGAGTAAGAGGGGGAGCCAGATTTTTCACACAATGCCCTATGAGTACCTTGGATCACCAATTCCAAACATTTGCAAAGACATGAAAAGTCAAATAAAAGGTAACAAGGGACCAGACTTCTAGTTGTGAGAAGCCTATAATAATAACAGTAACAATTTAAAAAGTACTCGTGAGCAAGAATGTTAATAAATACATCACTGTCATTCAACATTTTTCTATTAACAAACTCTTAAGAGCAAGCACGCTCTCAAGGCATTCCTAAGGAATTTCACCTGAAGAATAACTAGTGAACGTGGTTTGACGGGTTGTGCAGCCTGCGGGCCCCAGGCTCTGGGCACGTCCGGTAGAGCCACGTGAGTTCCTGCAGTCCACCAGCTGCGAGTCCGATGGAGCAGATGGAGACCCCAGACCGCTGATGCTCACGAGTGAGGGGCTTTGCCGGGGAGATGAGGAATGTTGGACGGCTGGGGAATGTCCTAAAATGGTTTCTGGTAATGATTGTACAACTTTTCTCGTTTGGATTGAACTGTTGAATTGTGTGCTGTGTGGATGAAATGCCAATAAAACTAAAAAACAATACAAGAGTCCCGAGTGACTTCTGACCAGCCATGGCTCCTTTTTCTGAGTCAGACCTCAAAGGTCCCCTCAGACCCAACCCTGATTATGGGGTCCCCTTGAATTCAACCCAGACCTCCAGGCCCGCTCTGACCTGACCCAAATCTTGGCTCTCTCTCCAACTCAACCAAGGGCTAAAGGCCCCCTCAGATCCACACCAGACCTTGAAGCCCCCTCACATCCTACCCAGACCTTGAGGCTCCCTCAATCCCATGTTCCCAGGCAGGCATCTGTCAGATATTGTGATGATGATTAAACTTTGCCCCATCAGTTGGTTACTGAGAGAAACCAGAGGGGTCCACTCAGGCTTTACGAAGACCTCTCACCACATCCTCTGCTAACTTGGGGTGTGCAGTGCTGCGTTGCCTGAGCAACCTCTAGAAACCAGGTGTCAGGCCTGCAGGGGACCAAGCACAAAGAAAACTGGGTCCTCTCCTTGCTGAGGAGCTATCGAAGCGGAAATCTCAAATCTCTGTGGGGACCTGAAGGCTGGGGAGGAAGTGCCCCCCCCCCCCACACACACACACAACTGCCTGGGCTGGCTCAGCAATTTGCCAGCTCCTTAGGGACCTGGGGGTGGGGGTGATGTCAAGGCCACAGACATATCCGGTCGCCTATCAAGAGGACCACGGGCTCCCAGACGAAGGTAATGTCCCCAGAGACTCACAGCCAGCCACAAGGACAGGCACCTTCCGCCTCCCTCCTGCTTCTGCGGCAGCAGGAGGTCTCTGTGGGGTCAGCGGAGGGAACCGGCTGGAGAAATGGAAAACTCGGGAGGTCTGGACTTCCTGACGGTTTAGAGGTCAGGAAGGGAGTTGAGCCTGCCCTAGGGAGCCCCAGTGTGAGGGAACAGTGGATGAGGAAGGAAACGGGGCCTTTTTTCTTGGGGCGCTCCCAGGCAGGGGAAGGAAGAGGCTTGGACCAGGCTCTACTAATTATAGGGTCTCTGACAATAATGGCTAATGTTCCGCAGCTCTAGCTGGGCGCGGTCCTGCGACTGACCTCCCCATCCCGAGAACCGGCGGTGATTATTAGCACCCTATTTGAAAGACGAGGAAACTGAGGCCCACAACAGGGGTGAGCTTTGAACGAGAGCTACCAGCCTCATCCAACAACCCTGCCTCTCTGGCTTCTTATTTTATCTGGAGCACTCCCACTGCCCCAGCCCTTGACCCAGGGACACCCCCCCTGTCCCACTGTCCTGGCTCAGACCACATCCATCA